TTTTCAAAACAAACAACCAAATTAAAACTGTGTTTAATTCAAAAAATGGTTTCTCTTTATTGACACCTATATTTAGACTAGAGTAAAAATCAAGAATTTCTTTTAGAATGAGTTCTTAATGTCAATTTCTATGCTCATTAATTACTTTATAAGTATTTTTTTATGTTAAAATGATTAATTATATAATAAAAAACAGCTTTTTTCTTTCTGCCCCTCCTCATCCACTTTATAAATATTATCAAGTTTTAAAAACAAACATGCAATTTTAGTACCTGCTTTTTTTTATTATTATTATTTTTGCAGAACATTTCCAAAAGCTTGGAAACTTCTTGTGAATACATGTCATCGGTATTAAAAAAAAATGAGTTTATTAAAAATACTGTTATAATTTTGACAATAAAAGCAAAAATAGAAAACAGAAGTGTTACTAAACGGGAAATAATGAGCTATTTGTGTTTTTCATTTTGGCCAAGATAAATATTGCTTGGTTCAAATTGCAAGTCAAGGTCCTTGTTGTCCATAATATTTATGCAAATGCTTTTAGGCTTATAGGCTATTACAACGAAACTTCAAATAATAAGTAGGGGTAAAGAAAATAAGGACCATTTGCGATAGTCTTTTTCAATGCTGACATTAGGTATATCTCATTTTTTAAAAATGAATACATTTCACAAAAGATAAATTATATGCATTGAGAAAGAAGAAAACTGAAAAAAAAAAAATTAGAAACTTGGCAACTAAGTAACATAATTAAATTGGATAGTAATTGATGTATATTCTAGTTGAATACAATGCATATCACATTCATTAAAAATTTATTATTTTTTTATATTAAATTAAAAGTAGACAAACTTAAAAATATAATTATACGTATAAAATGTAAGAATTGATTAAATTTGTTGTACTTATATCATCTTTTGATAGGTGAATTAGAATGAGTATCAAAAAGTGTATTGAACCTAATGTGAATCAATCATTTTTCAATTGAATTAATGAGATGCTTTAGGCGTCAAACATTTTTTACAGAATAATCCAAAATTTTAAGTGTTCTTTTAGTTTCAAAAATCATTTTTTTAATGAGAAATAAAATTTCATTGATATATGAAAACCATAAGAATTCCAAAGCCAATTTGAATGGGGCAATATGCTAGAGATTTTACACTCATAAAATGCATGAAAATACAAAATTAAATAATTTCATGCCTACATGAATATTGTAGCTAGATCCAATTTTAAGATTTAGCAATTCACATTTTAGCATAATCCATCCAAACATAAGATAAATTGGTTGGGCAAAAAAATTTAATTAGGGATTCCATCCGCAACCATGCCCTCAATAGTCAAAACAAATGTGACAACTAATATGAAGTCCAATCAATATCGTGTTCAAGTTGCCATCCTCCTCCAACAAAAATGAATTTTGATAAAAGCTATAAAAAAAGTCAAAGTAGAAACCCGTAGAAACCTTCACAAGAGAGGGAGAAACTCTCATAAGGTGAAAACTCTCACCTTTAATCTACCATAACCATTGAGGGAGAAAGAGACAACAATACCTAAGGGGTTAGCTTCAAAACTCTTAATTAATAATTCAAGAGTTGCTTTGGTGAGTGGAAGGAGGTTTAGATCCGACAGTTGGAGAAGGTTGATTTTCTCATCATCTGACTTGTAGTAAATAGGGGCTATTGCTTGTTAGTAATATGGTAGCCCATAGAGCTTGCATAAAGACTTCCATATAGCTAGTGATGTTTAATTGGTGGTCTTTATACTTGGTAACCATATTATTACCCCTGTAGCGCTTAGTCCTATAATCACTAGTATTAAGTAGCTTCTTGTTTGTCATTGAATGATTTATGTATGGGTGTTTAGCACCTTGGTATTAGATGGATGTTATAGGTTTAATTCTTGTTGCCCGATTGGCTACTATTTAGGGATTATAATTCATTGTAATATCTATTTCTTTATCTATTAGTAAAATTACATTATTTAATTATTTTAAAAAGCATCTGGGAATGATAATTACTTATTACTCTTCTAAATTTGGCAATTCATAACCATGATAAAAAAAAAAAAAAAAAAGAATACATGTTTAGGGTCCAACATTATGTCCACACAAATAATTGTTGTTAGGGTTACTCAAAAATATGATAGGGGTGTTTGGTTTGACTGTTAAGAGTAACTAACAACTATAACTATTAATTGATAATTGATAGAATAATTAATATTTATTGTTTAACTGTTTGAAATTAGTTTATAAATTAATGTTTTTAAGTACCTTAACTAATTATATACTAATAAAATTAAACAAACTTAATATATTTATAATATTTCATATAACCTTAACAATTATTTGTGTGATGATAACATGGCCATGTTTTAGAGACTTGTTCTTTGATATCATATCCAAGTTGCAAGTCAAGGTTTTTGGTCTTTGCTGTCCACGCCAATGTTGTAAGTCAAGGTCTTTGCCGTCTATAATACGAGCAATGTTTCCTTGGGTATTAAAATGAGAGTTTGCAATTTTGTAATTTGTTTTTTTATTATATATTTTATAATAATTAATAAAATAATGATCACTATAATATTAAAAA